TATAATAATAACATAAAGATAATAAAAACATTAATAATAATAATAATAATGTTCAAGTTAACAGCTAAATGATTTGGTATTAACGATTAGAACGTGATAAATCTTAATAAAACACCTAGTTGAATTAGACGAGGACAAATAAAAAGCATCGCTGATATGTGAAGGATGTCAATGTCAACTACCCAGTTGACATTCGAATGACTTTCTTAACAAAACGCTGTAATAATAGGTGCTTTTCTATTTTCCTCGGCTAAATACCTACAAAAATAACTGACTATTTGATTATTTTCACTGCCATGGAAGATCCTTTGAAACTATATTTTCCATGTCGTAACCTAACAATTCACCATAACGGCCAATCAACCCATGCCACGCCCATCAAAGGTATTTGACAAATTGTCCAGCTATAATCACGCCCCGTACAATTTAATTCGGAATAGTTTATATTAGAATAATAGAATTAAGCTTCGACCACGCCCTTTTCATAAAACCGGAGGTACGACCATGGATAAATGGATTAAAATCCTGTGCTAATAAGACACTAAATTCGGTATCAGTGTTCTAAATTGACTATTTTAATTGTAATTGTACAGGTCTTTTAAATACTAAAGGAGGGGGGGGGCGACCGTCAGACACCTGATTTAAGGGTCGCTTAGACAGAGGAACAATTGAAAATCGCGCGTCTAAGCCCGCTTGACCCGTATTAAATAGAGTAGTTTGGGTAATTCTATGCTAAATTTCGATCCTTAGCAGCTGTTTTGGTAGAGTATAGAGCCGATTAAAGAGCGTTAAAAGTATTGCTTTTACGGTAATTTGGTCCGAGTTTTATTTTGATAGTTTTAAAATATTTGTCTGATTAAATATTATTCAAATAAATCATCATCGACTAATGATTTATCTGACGAGAGTTCAGAAGAATGCTTCCTCTAACCAGTCAGAAAAATAATCTACTTTACCTGCTAGATTTCGAGAAATTACCCTTAGAAGAATTCAGCCAATTTTCTCTGTACTGGCCGCCACCATGGCCAGAGTCGCTAAACCCAGCAGCTCATTATCAGCTGGTAGCACATCTTCCTCCTCTTCATCAGCTTTGTTTAAATGAGTGATGCTGCGCTTATTCTTACGCTTTTTTGAGCCAACTAGCGGAGGGGCGTTAGTCAAAAGTCGTTCGTTGTCGGTCCGTTGGAATTTTGTGTTCGTTAGTTTCCGCTTTTTGCTTTCGCGCTTCCTTCGGACAAAGTCGTCGTAGCTTAGACTGTGCAGGGCGTCAATGCGCGAGTCCAGATTGAAGTCGATTCGGGCACTTTCGGCCGAGTCCGTGTTTGTTCGAGGACGTTCAACCTTAAGGGAATGTGACAATGACCTAGAAAACTACTGGAAATCGGGTGCTTACCTCAACTTTGACTTCCTCGTCTATTTTGATGTTGGTTCGCTCGGCCAATCGTTTGATGGTATTCTCCAGGTTGAAGTGGGGAGGCGGCTGTGTCGGCGTTGCCGCTTCGCCCTCATAAATCTTCCCAATCCGGTAATGCTGGGTGAGCCTAGTGTCGCGTTTATTTCCCAGAAGCTTTGCTTCTACCATAAAGCGCTCGTATCGTTTGCCTTTGCACATACGGTCGCTCTTTCTCTGCTCCTTTGGCTCTAAATGTCCACAAAATTAGCTCGACTTACTCGGTTATAGACGTCACTCTTACCGTCTCTATCAGTGGCGAAAATACCGTCGACTACCTTGTCCAGCAAGTCCTGATTGGTCAGGTCACGATCGAGAATATTTCTGGAACATTCGCGAACTTGCTCGTCCGCAAACTGCTCAAAGATGCGCTTTTTTATTGGCTTGGGAGGAACGGTCACGACAACGTTTACCTCAGGGCTACACAGTGTTTTGTCGGTCCTCGCCTTCAACATCGGGTCTTCATTATTGTTGGCTTCAATCTGGAAAAGATCGGTCAAACGTCCAGTTTGCATCGTCAGCAATATTGGCTTACTTGGCAACTGTGCATATCCACTTCGGGCATCTTCGGCGGCTGAAAGTTGTTGTTCGTCATCAGCGAAGTGAGTCCGCCGAGCTGCGATTCGTCGGCGAGTTTGCCCGGCGTGAATTCGGGTGGCGTCGTTTTTGCAACCGGACCGGCGGCTAAAGGGGTGGGTTTGGCAACAACAACTTGCGTCGGCCGAGAGGCAAGCGTGCGCAATGGTGGCGCCGGTAGTTTGTACCATCTAAAGCCCGGATTAGCCGATAGAAAAGCGTCTTTGTACTAAAAAAAAGATTGTCAAATTCAAGTTTTTTTTAATACAAACCGGGTTTTACCTCTTTCGCCAAATCGTTGTAAGGTTGTTTTTCCGCCACAGTCAGCAGCGCCCACCACTCGCCTAAAATTTTGGTAACCCCGCGGTTTTCAGTGGTGGGGAAGCGGAGCCGCACTATTGGGCGGTGTTTCTTGCAAAAGATTAAGAAGGCGTTTGGTGGGCGACGCGCATGATGTGACGGTGACGTGTCGTCCTGCGGTTGGTCAGCAGTGGGCACTGGTTCTGTCACCGGTCTGCTGTCATGTTTCGGCTCTGCTCGTTCTTCTTCGTTTTGGTCGCATGCCCTCTGATCTGTCTGTGTGTTTATTTCCAGCGTTCCCCAGGTGGTTTTTGCGTTGGGTATTGGCGTCACCGTTTCCACTTTAACTTTGTCGGTATCGAAAGTGCGTTCTGACCAAACCTGGATTAAATGATGCGAGGTTGATGATCGAATTTAATTTAAATTTCTTTATTGAAATAATTAACCGAAATTAATAGCTGGTGGTGTTAAAGACGAACCTCTCCGATTTTTTTCTCGTTGATTGAAACTCTCTGGGTGGACTCGGTAATGGGTTCCACTGACTCAGCGGGATCCGCGAACGGCGCATTCGCCAAAAAGGCATCGTGAGCCTTTCTAAAGTTGTTTTGGATCGAGTTCATGTTTGATGTGTCTTATCATTGGAGTGGCAGGTTGACTTTGTTGAAACTGAAACTATTGAGGTTCACTTTGCTAAATACAGTTTCAAAACAAACTTGATTTTTTGAGAAAAGGAAGTAATTCGTGTTTCAATGGGTTGTTGAATTTTAGAAATCGCTGGTATGCAACCGAATTCAAAGAAAAACAAACCTTGACCTACTGATCGGGGCCTGCAAAACTCTTGCCATGCAACTCGGTCATTTGTCAATTAAAACAGTTAAAAGGTAAGTTGCGGAAGCAATAAAAAGTGACTTTAGGGACCGATTTAGAGTTCCAAAATTGGTGGCAAGTCCCCAAAATTACTGGCAAAAACACAAACAAACAAAAGAAAGCAGATGTTTCAAGGCAAACCCGATTCGACTGTTGTAACTCGTTCAAGGACGTTTCCAGTCTGAACAGCGAACATGTCCAGGATATTCGAATTTTTTACTGAAAATGGCGAAACTTTCAACGGGGCAAGTTGGCGAGCGCATTGGTCAAGGGTTTTGTGATGAAATCCCTGAAAAAACTATCTAACAGCACTCACCTACTTGAAGAAAACAAACGCAATCGCGGCCATGACGTCACTGGGGCCTAAAATCGTCCGACAAGGACGGAAACGGCCGTATTACCCGTCACAACGAAAAAGCCGATTTGTTTCGGAGATCTTCAGTCAGAAATCGCGGATTCATGCGAATTTCAAACCAAAAAACTCCATCGAAAACACTCGATCGAAGATGGCCGTGCTTGTTTAGGTTTTGCGACAGTCAGCTGTTCCCCCACCATCCCAGACGTCAACTGAGCAGAATTTTAATTGGTCAGACATGACAAACTTTTTAAATTTTTTGATGCCTCAAACCTTATGCAACGCGCTGCAACTAAAAGGATTAAATTATCTAAAAAAGACCAAAACAATCAGAAATTTCTCCGTGCCAAATGTATTCGGCTGCTGGCGTAAAAGAAAACTTGCCAAGGTTTGAACCAGCCTGCGGTAGCTACAGGCAGCGAGAATGTTCAAAGGCGCATCCGTCATAATTTACAGAACCTATGCACCTTGTGTTTGTACATCAGCGCCCTCTTTTTTCTTGCAAACCTATCGAACGGTGGCGGAGGCGTAAGTACCAACGCGCGCATTCTCGTTTTAAGTAGTTGATTCGTTATAATCCCCTTTGGATCCACAGTTTTCTTAGAACCTGTGCTTAGAACTAAGGATGACACAAACCAGCATTTTTCAGTTACAGGTTCCATGTGGGACTGTTCCAAGATCTGTGATTTTTTGTCACATGTTATTTTGGCTCATGATAAATATTGGTTTGTACCTGAAGCTGAAGCGTATTTTGAGTCCAATCGGAATATAAAAATATATAGGATAGACGGATATCCACGCCACTAGTAATTTGGGCTCGAATCTGCTGGGTCAGCGATAAATTATGACCGAAGACCGAATGCCTTTTGTTCCTTTATGCATGTAAGGGCTGATGGTAAAAAAAAAGTCATAACATTTTTAATGAGTAACGTTTTACCATTTTATCGAAACTTTATTTGAACACAAAAAAAGGTGACCACATTTTTTATCTTTCCCACTTAAGGGCAGTAAAATGTGAAAATTTTTTGCCTATTTTTTATTTTCATGGTAAATAGCGCCTATACAAATTTAAATATAGTTCGTCCACTACTCCACTGGGCAGATGCAACAAATGTTATTTTATTTCAGAAGCACTGTTATTGGTCGAAAAAGAACAAGTTCCAAGGACAAGGAACAGCTCACAGTTCCGAAAAAACAGGCAGTCACTTACAGCCTGTGACTCATAGGTCTGGTCATATTAAAGAAAATATCAGAAACGGCTGTTACTGCTGTTCCCGATATTTTCTGTTTATTGAATATTGCTATTTGCCGAATCATGGGTGCATGGATTCGAAAATCATCAGGTCCCACGTCCCATTCCCATACATACAAAACCTTACCACTTCATGAGAATAAAATGTCTTCTTTCGTAAGGCTTTCATGATTCCATAATGAGAAATATCTGAGCCATTTCGTTGGAATCCAGTACCCTCTCGGGGCACTTTGTTGGGAAAATGTTTTTTCTCGAAAGCTCGCTTAGTTTCTGGAGTGGTTATTAGTATAAGGAAGCAACGAAGCAGTTGTAGTGGACTGACTGATACACGTGGCACAGAATAGGCATGATGACAGTATAAAAGAATCAAATAATAAATGGTTTTATAGGAAAGTATATGTTGAAATGATTCTAAAAAGTGACCCATTATTAATATAGGTATTGAGATCAATAACATTGTTAAGATAATGTAAGTAAAAATACAGCAGTCCAATCCGAGCGCGTCGAAGGCCGTGACGTCATCGACCGTTGAAGTAATCAATGCGCCTGTGCCGTGTCCTAGCAATTGTTGTGACTAGTGGTGGGCTAATCTGGTCATTTTAAAGATTCGGCTCGTTTTAATGATCCAAATTATTAGAAGTCCTCGGAGAGATTCGGAACCCGTAGGTACTCGGGATCCGGATTACTACCAGCATTAGAGAACCAGAACCATAGAGCATAGGCTTTCTATTTTGCATTAAGCGCGAAAACGCTCGTTGGTGTTTGTGACGTCACTATCTCTAATAATGAGGTGTATTAACCCAATTATTAGAGGTAGTGACGTCACAAACACCAACGAGCGTTTTCGCGCTTAATACGAAATAGAAAGATAGAAATGTGATAATTTGAGTCAACATTTAATTTATTGCGGAAATAACGTTTTTTTTTCGGAAATAGCATACGTGTATATACAAAGTCTAGTGCGAGAGCTAAAATTACAGTGTAACTGCAACCAACACCCGAAATTTTAATCTGCTTTTTTTATTAACCATGCTTCTTCTTAAATACATTTCTGGGGTGATAATACTCATCCCTTGGTTGTGGGAATAATCAAAGTTCGGGAACTTATCTGCTGAACCTTAATATTTTTTTTCGATGAAAATAGTTAGAGACTCAGGGTCTGAGCTTATCAACTAACACAACGGGAATTTGATACCAATTGTATGCAGAACAATAGTTAGTGTAAACATGACTATGTGAGTGCATTGGGTACAGTTAAGTGCAAAGTGTGTTACAGGTATATGACAGGTACATTACACATCATAAGTAATAAAAGCGCGTGGATTTTTGATAATTGTGCCGTAATGAACCTGACCAGAGCGGAGTGATTTGCAGGTGCCAATCGGCAAAGCCTGACTCTACAAACCCAGAAAATTTCAACCTGATCGGTCCACCGTACACGCTTAGCCGCGACATTCAATCTTTAAGAATTCCTCTCGTGCACAATACGGCAATGGTGTTCTTTGGTACCACGCAAGAACCCCCTCCCGGCCGCTGAAGAACGGGTACCTCTTCGGGCCTCAGTATACCTCGACGGGTCGCAAGAAATCCACTGGGTACCGTCGGAAAAGCGCGAAACTAAGTTCGTCAAACTTCGCCGTTGGAACCACGCTTCTTGCGAGTTTTTTGTTTTTTTGCGTGTTCTTGAGTGGCAGATCAAGGATACAGTGTTGGGTGCATCCAGTTTTCGATTGGGGGTTCTAGTTGTGACTGAGTGGCCGCTACAGTTTGGACCGGGTGACGTTTAATCGAGAAAAAATGCTGTTTACGGGAGTTCCGTGATTCGGGCGGCCATTTTGCATTCCAATCAGAAGAGAGACGGAAGAAAGAAGAGAAGGCGAAGATTGAACCCGAAGATGAAGACATGCTGATGCGGTCCAGTCTGGATAGGACGTAATATGTTGCTGCCAGCGAAATTTGCAACGTTTCTGCTTCTACTTGCGCTCGTGGCTGGGCAGGGACCTGGATCGGGACTAAAGGCTGCTCCACCACATCCAGATGATCGGAAAAACCCCTCAACAAAATATCTGTTCCAAGCAAATTTCTTTGAAGAGCCATCCCTATTGAACATGGTTGAGCTAAAGTCAAATTCCCCACCTGACACTCTATCCAGTTATCTGGAAAGATTCCAGTACAACCTGATTAGTTCCAATGGGTTTTTGGGGATGGGGCCAAATGAAGGTCGAATTGTACATCTGGGGCGTTCAGCAAGACAAATTCGCAGCAGGCCTGTTGAGGTACTTTCGAGTCCAGAAAGGCTCCAGAGTAGCGCAGCTGACGCTTTTGGGAATCCCGAGCAGATGCAGAGCAGGGCTGTTGACACCCGGGTGACATTCGAGATTCCCGAAGGGGAGCCGAAGGGCACTCGGGTGGGGAAAATTCCAACTAAGCCGGGATTTACCTATAGGTGGGGACAGTTTTGTGGTATCCACACCAAGTACATAGGATAGAAAAGCCTTTTCTAAAACATCCGACTAAGATTGAAAGTGTGTCGAATCAAGCGATTCTAAATTTCACTTGTTAGTTGTGGCTGACAAAAAGCAGTGTATGGTTACGAAATTGTTCTCATAATCAGTCAGTTTCCTCGATGAACCGGGCGAAAAATCATATGCATCTAGGTCTATTCGGTTGAGAATCCCACCTTTAAACTTGAACCATCCTGTATATAATTTTTTCTGACTTGTTTTGGATTCACTTCTATTTATGCAGCATAAACTCATTAACTAATTTTAGACTGTCGATCAAAATCAAATATGTTACAGAGTGATCCAATAACACTCAAAAGTTAAAGGTGCATTTTACCGTCGGGTGCCATTTGACTTATCATGTAATCATGAATAATTTTTGCTTTGAGTCGCAAAAACTCGCCGCTTTGAGACTGTTACGTCCAAAGGCCCTTTTAGGTCTAAAGCACGTGTCCGTTTATACGATGGTACGATGATACGAAAGTGTTTTTATTGGTTAGAGATCTGTCAGTTCGTACGACGGCGGACGCATTGGCAGATCTCCAACCAATAGAAAAACTTTCGTATCATCGTATAAACGGATGCATGGGACACGGGCTTAATCCGTTGAAATCCGTTTTTTAAACATAAGCCACCCTGTATAGGCATTTTTCTTTCCAGTCTCGTTTCACGTTCATTTAAGCAGCATTTTCGGTTTGCAAATAATACCTAGTGATCCACTTGAAATGCTCAATAAAACACAACTTTAGCCGCCTTGTATACAGGGTGTTCCAGCGGGAACCGCCGAGATCGTAATCTGTCAAACTACAGTTAGGATAAATTTGAAAATTGCACAGTGTGCCGAAGTCATTGGGGGCAAGCGATCTGAAATAAATTAAAGATGGCTATACTTCCGGTTATACCGGAAGTAGGTATCAATTTGCTTATTTTAAATGGAACACCCTATATATAATTACATTTTTAAATTCTACCATAAATTCTAAATATATTTCATGTATAACATCGTATACCTAAGTCTAACCGTTTTTGATATATTTTAAATTTTTTGTAAAAAATGACAGTTGCAGTTACTCGAAATGAATAATTATTCATTTTTCGTAAAAGGGAATTTGTGCTATGTAATTTGAGTCGCATTTATTGTTGAAAAAGATTTACTTTAATAAAATTTCGACTACATTTTGAAAACAATTAATACGAAGTGTTCAAAAAATAAGTTTCAAAACACAGTTGAGACAACCGCCCAAAATCAATTTTTTCCAATGAAAACCCCCATTTTTGATCATTTTGTCATATTCAGTATTAAAAATAAGTGTGAGTTTGTGTAACGATGTCTATTCCAAAAGTGTTTAGTTTTCGAAATATTGCCACTTTAATGTTTTCATATGACTATTTTGCCCTCATCTCATTTTAAATCCCGTCACTCTTAGTTGTCATGACGAAAATTGCCATTTTATTAATACAAACAAATGCCAAAAGAATGCTGACAGCTGTCAGTTACCTTTTGCAAATTATTACTATTCATGCCCAGACGCTTCAATCATACAAACGAAGATTATTTAAATTAATTTATTATTTATGAAGAATGTGATAAAACTGTATCAAGAACATGCGAGACATTTGCCATTCGATATCCACAAAAATAGCAACCTTCATGTTGTGCTGTCAAACAAATTATAGAAAATTTCAAGAATTTTGAATACGTCTAAATAATAGTGCATGTTCAGTTTATAAAGGCAACCAGAAAAATTTGAAACCTCTATATTTGAAAAAAACTGGTTTTTGTTCTTGATATAATAATAATTAATAATACATAAACGGTTCTTGATATAACTTTTCACATTCTCCATAAATAATAAGTAAGTTTAAATAATCTTCGTTTGTATAATTTAAGCGTCCGGGCATGATTATTAATTATTTTCAAAAGCTAACTGACAACTGTCAGCATTCTTTTGGCATTTGATTGTAGATATTAAAAATGGCCACTTTTGTCATGGAAACTAAGAGCGACAGGATTTACAATGAGATGAAGGCAAAATAGACATATATTGAAAACTATTATAAAAAATTAAATTGACAATATTTCGAAAACTGAACAATTTGTCGAATAGAAAACTTTACACAAACTTACCCTTATTTTTAATACTGAATAAGATAAAATAATAAAAAATGTATTTCCATTTGAAAAAATTGATTTAGGGCGACTTTCTCGATGACATTTTGTAACTAATTTTTTTAACACTTAGTTATCAAAATTTTGTCGAAATTTAATTAAAATGAGTCCTTTTCAGCAAGAAATGCGACTCAAATTAAGTAACACATATTTCCTCATACGAAAAATGAATAATTATTCGAGTGGCTGCAACTGTCATTTTTCACCTAAAATTTAAAATATAGCAAAGACAGTTAGTCTTGGGTATAGGATATTATACATGAAATATATTTAGAATTTGGAGGAGAATTTAAAACTGTAACAATAAATAGGGTGTTCCATTTAAAATAAGCAAGTTGATTCCTCCTCCAAGTCTGGCCATCTTGAAAATATGTTAGATCGCTTGCCCCCAATGAGTTCGGCAGACTGTTCAATTTTCAATTTTTTCCTAATTGCTTATAGTTTGCCAGATATCGATCGCGGCGGTTCCCGGTGGGACACTCTGTATACTGCATGTTTTGGAGAATTTCATTTATCTGTCAAAACTGTCATTCCAACAATAAACTGGCTTGTTTTAACGGTTAATCTGAACCAATGAGAATGTGATTCCGAGATAATCACGCACTAGTGCACGATTAACAGATAATTGCACAGTAGGTACAGGGTGGCCTAAAAGTATCACTTTTATTATTATATATTAATCTTCTTTTTGGCGTTAAAAATTTGAATGTTTTTATTAATGTCTTCTAGCGTTGCTACTGAAAACCAGACATATTTTACGTAATTGTAATGATTGCAGATTCAATGAGGCGCCCAAAGAGTTTGTGCTAGATCCAAAGAGCGGCGAAATCGCCACCAATCAGGCGCTGGACCGGGAAATATTGACCAATGACCGCTACGACTTAGTGGTGTTGTCCAGCCAACCGACCTACCCGATCGAAGTGCGTATTTTCGTGACGGACGTCAATGACAATTCGCCGGAGTTTCCCGAAAGCTCGATCGGCATCAGTTTTTCGGAGAGCGCAGTAGCCGGCACGCGATCGCTTTTGGACGTGGCAACCGATCGCGATTCGGGCAAGTTCGGTGTCAGCGACAACTATCGGATCGTGGCCGGTAACGAGAACAACAAGTTCCGATTGGTTGTGACTACGAATCCCAGTGGCGACTCATCGTACCTACATTTGGAAACTACCGGCAAACTTGACAGGGAAACTCAGGGCGTTTATGCGTTGAATATCAGCGCACAGGATGGCGGAAATCCTCCAAGGTTTGTAGATTTTTATGCGAAAAAAGGTTTTTTGGTTTGAGCAATTGATTTGTAGGTTCGGGTACTTGCAAGTGAACGTCACAGTGCTTGATGTCAACGACAATCCGCCGATATTCGACCACAGCGACTACATTGTCAGTCTAAACGAAAGTGCGCCTCCCGGCACTCCAGTGTTGCGCGTTACCGCCACTGATAACGATCTTGGGGATAACGCCAAAGTGACGTACTACTTGGACGATGACGTCGTGCAGTTCGGCGTCGATCCAGAGACCGGCGCAGTTTCCACTACGGAACCACTAAATTGCCCAATTCAGAATTGTCAGGTGCAAAAGTCAGGGGCGGGGTGCCCAAAAAGTTGCGTGTTTACGGTATTCGCCCGCGATCACGGTATACCGCGACAGGACGGCCGGACTTATGTGACAGTGAACCTGCTGGACGCCAATGACCACAGTCCAGTCATCAAATTTCGGTACTTTCCACCAACGGCCAGTTTCGCCACTGTGGACGAAAATGCCGGCAATGGGTCCGTAGTGGCTGCCGTTTCCGTTGTGGACCAGGACGAAGGTCTGAATGGTAAGCGTTTTTTTTTCAATCGTTTTATATTAATTGAACCCGCCTTGATGTTAAGGTGTTTTGGGTTTTCAATTTTTTTTCAATAATAATTTTTCAGGGGAAACGACGGTGAGGATTCTAGCGGGCAATGAGCGCAATCATTTCCGTCTGGACTCAACGCCCAGTTTCGACATTGTCCGAGTCAGTGGCGTGCTGGACCGAGAAGAAATTTCCGTGTACAACTTGACAGTGGCCGCCACTGATAAAGGGAACCCCCCGCGCACTGCCACTGCCTTCTTGGTGATTCATGTGAATGACGTCAACGATCACGAGCCAGTGTTCGAGAAGACCGAGTATGGGGCTGTTCTGAGCGAGCTGGCACCTCCGGGTACTTTTGTGGCCGCTGTCGCCGCCTCGGACGAGGACAGCGGCGTTAATGCGCAAGTTCACTATGCGTGCCTGTCCGGCAACGAGAACGGCTGGTTTGAAGTGCAACAGGACACAGGCCTGGTCACGACCAAAAGTGCTCTGGATCGTGAGCTGCAGGGCACTGTGGAGTTGAATATTTCCGCCATGGATGGAGGTCCAAATCCACGGTAAGTTTCTACTGAAGCTTACCCTGTTTTTTTGTTGTTGTTGATGCACCTAATCTTAGATTAACAAGCATCCTAAATATAACCTAAATTACTACGGTTTGTTAACTGGGATATTCCCAGCGGTCCATCACAGGTTTGCGCATGGTTTCGCGCACTAAACTGTTGTGGGTAACCCGCACTATACTCTGCTTTTTCACTATTCATTTCACGTTAATGTTCACAAGCTCAAACGGTTTAGTCCTTTTCAGCCTCCTCACTGTGTTCTGACTATCTAGCAGTTGAAGTACTTCAACATTCGGACGGTTGTGGAGTCTCTTCATGTCTCCTGGCTGCTATCGCTATTTCTTCTTTGACTGTCCGCACTTGTAGCTCACGATGGAGATCCTCAATCCGAACGTACCAGGGTGCATTAAGAATGTTCCTTAGTAATATAATAATAATATGTCCACACTGGTTTAAGGACTTGTTGGTAAACCAGTAGTTTGTTTTTAATGAAATACTGCGAACCTCTTCCCAGCAGCCAATACATGCTTTTGTATTTGAGTTTTAGTTATTCAGTCTTCCTTTTAACGTGAACTTTCCAACTAAGCTTGGCATCAAGGTTAAGTCCTAGGAATTATATTGTTATTTAATTTCACCGCAAGATGATTTATTTTTCTATTTGTAAAATTGATGTGAACAGACTTATTTTGATTTAATTTAATACGCCACTGTGCGGTCCAAGCGTCTATGGCGTTTATTGCATATTGAAGATTGGCAGTTGTCTCTTCTATAGAATTTCCTACTG